ACAGCTACATTTTTTTGCCCTGATTATAAAAACATATACATAACATGATCCTTCTGAGGCAGTAGTACCATTGTCCCCACCTTATGAGTGGAAAAACTGAAGCGGAGAGAAGTTAAGTAACTGGCTTTGTCAGAGAGTTATAAGTGTCAGAATCAGGGCTGACCACAAAATGTGCAAGCCAGAGTTTATACATGTCATTGCTGCATCATCCTGTTTTTTTCAGTGTTAGAGTAGCCTAGCTAGGTTTTAATTTTTAAATCTAAGAGACTATTCCCAATATATAGGGTAGGGTCCCTAGGCCTGGCCGACGATCAGGGCCAATCTGTGGGGTGACCAGCGAGGCGATCAGGGACCCCCACTGGCACCTGCCTTGGCTGGCAGCCTGGCGCCGCCCGCTCATCTCCCCTGACTGGGGGCAGCTCCTGCGTTGAGCATCTGCCCCCTGGTGGTCAGTACACGTCATAGTGATTGGTAGTTCCGTCGGTCATTCCACCATTCAGTCGATTTGCATATTAGGGTTTTATCATATAGGATGTTTTGATCTCTCTCTCCCTCTTCTTTCCTCTCTAAAATCAATAAAAATATATTTTAAATAAAAGAAGATTGAAATCATATCAGGTATCTTCTCAGATAACAATGGAATGAAATTAGAAATCAACTACAATAAAAACACACAAAGACATTCAAATAGATGAAGGCTAAATAATATGTTATTAACCCTTTTCGATCCAACGTTGAGGCTGACTAGAGACACCAGGCGCTAGTAGCAGGTCCAACGTCGAGGCTGAGGTCGACACTGCAACCAGTTCAACATTCAATCCCGTCAATTAATTTGGACCAGACTATTTAAATTCCAAAAATAAAATTGGACCGCAAAGGGTTAAACAATGAATGGGTTACCAATGAGATCAAGAAAGCAATCAAAAACTTCCTGAAAACAAATGAAAATGATAAAAAGCATCCTGGTAACACACAACAATGAAAACACAATAATCCAAAATCTATGGAACACAGTGAAAGCAGTCTTGAGAGGGAGTTTCATAGCTGTACAGGCCTACCTCAAAAAAAAAAAAAAACACCAATAAGAAATGGTAGTAATTTATCTAAGGCTATAACTCAAAGAGTTAGAAAGAGAGCAACAAGAAAAACCCAGAGTAAGTGGAAGGAAGGAAATAATAAAGATTAGGACAAAAATAAATAACATAGAGATTTTTTAAAAAATACAAAAAGTCAATGAAACCAAGAGCTGGTTCTTTGAAAAGATAAACAAGATTGATGAACCTTTAACCAGAGTCTTCAAGAAACAAAAAAAAAGAACCCAATTAAATAAAATCACAAAAGAAATTGTAGTGCCAGCCACAGCGATGAGACAAGAGATAAAGGGCATCCAAATCAGGATGGAGGAAGTAAAACTATCATTATTTGCAGATGACAGGATAGTGTATATCAACTCCACTAAAAAACTACTAGATTTAATAAATGAATTTGGCAATGTAGCAGGATACAAAATTAACACCCAAAAATCGATGGCTTTTTATACAAACAAATGAAAATGAACACACAATAACCCAAAAGCTCTAGGACACAGAAAAAGCAGTCCTAAGATGGAAGTTCACAGCACTACAGGCCTACCTCAAAAAAAAAAAAAAAAGAAAAACAATAAGAAAAATTAAAAATAAACTACTTTTAAAAATTAGAAAGAGAACAATAAGAAAAACCCAGAGTAAGTGGAAGGAAGGAAATAATAAAATTAGGACAAGAAATATGTAACATAGAGACAAAAACAACAACAAGAAAAAAAAATCAATGACGCTGTTTGCGGGCAGCATCCAGGAGGCAGTGTGGAGATGGGGCTGAGAGACCTACCAGCATATTTCCCAGATCTAGAACAAATACTTCAAAAATTTATATAGAACCAAAAAAGGTCCTGAATAGCAACAGCAATCTTGAGAAAGAAGAAGTTGGAGGGATCACAATAACAGATGTCAAGTTTTATTACAAAGCCACTGTAATCAAAAGAGCCTGGTACTGGCACAAGAACAGACATATAGATCAATGGAACAAAACAGAGATCCCGGAAATCCATTAGAAAATATGATGAAATGGACAAATTTCTAGAAAAATACAATCTTCCAAAACAGTCAGGAAAAATCAGAAAACCTGAATAGGCCATAACAAGTGATGAACTAGAAGCAATAATCAAAAAACTCTCAGCAAATAAAAACCTGGGTATAAATGGTGTTGGGAAAATTGCACAGGTACATGAAAAAATATGAAATTAGATCACCAACCTACACCATACCCAAGAACAAACTCAAAATGAATAAAATACTTAAATGTAAGCCAGGAAACCATAAAAACTCTAGAAAAAACCATAAGCCACAAAATCTCAGACCTCTTTCGTAGCAATATGTTCACAGATACATCCTAGGATTCCTCAAACTATTTCAAAAAATCCAAGAGGAAGTAACACTTTCAAGCTCTTTTTTTGAGGCCAGCTTTTCCTAATTCCAAAACCAGATACAGGCACTACAAAGAAAGAGAATTACAGGCCAATATCCCTGATGAACATAGATGCTATATTCCTCGACAAAATATTAGT